CACCTGCCCTTCTCCTGCAACGCTCACCCCACCCCGCAAAGGGACTGATTTATCCCTTCTCCACCCTCCTCGTGAACGGCCCCATACCAGCAATCACGGACCGTTTCATTGCTATTTCACTGAGGAGGAAATAAAATATAAAATTACTCTCCTCCCGGAGGCTGGATCTGGAGTGACCCCGGAGGAACCGCTGGAGCTGAGCTGCAGAGGATCAGCCCAGAATAAGTAAAATTGCATTTCAGGACACATGTACGCATCGCCAGTGCGGCTCTCGGCAAACACAGACACACAGAGAGCTTCCCTCAAGAACAACCAGGCAAAAGCACGGTCTGAACGTGGCTGCGCTTGCAAGGCAGGCGAGGACAGACTACTAAGGGACGTGCCCGAGCTGGAGCAAGCAGAAGCTGTAAAGAGCGTTTACCTCTGGCATACAAATTGGAGAAATCTGTCTCGGTGCGCCGGAACCTGGATTCCCTCTCACTGTTCTCGCACGCCAGCAGGCTCTTGGAGGACTGCCTTTCCTTCAGGGAGCTAACGATCCGGCCCTTGTCTTCCAGGCTGTTGGTCCTTTGCAGGAACCCTACATTGTTATTGCAAGGTGCACAGGTCAGAGTTTTCTCACTTCCCAACATGTTTAGAAATATCGAAAGCAGCTCTCTAGACAACAGTTCAAAGCGGTTGGCTCTGGATCTGCCTAATGAGGTCAGGAATAAGAGTATTTATGGGGATTATTTGCCTCCAGGAGGGAGAACTCAAAATGCCATCAACTGCAAAAACCCAGCCATGCAAAAAACAAATTTTCGTCATTTAGTGCAGTGGTAAATTCTTATTAAGTCGATCAGACAGATTCCACTTCAGTAATCAGCCACTGGAAGAGAGTTCAGGATGAGTCAATGCTATTTCAGCCTGCAGGCGAAGTTTATGGACCTAGCAGACAGGGGCAATGATGTATGATTAAAATCAGGGCCACTTTCAGTTCTCCTCGTGGTGCTTTCACGCACAAAAGGCACGAGAACAAGCAGCCATTCTGGAGCACCGGCTCTCTAAGGACACCGGTGGCACTCATCACCCCACCTTCCTGTTATCAGTACGTACCAGGACGTGTCCAGGAGATGCGGATTTTCCACCTGAAAAGATGCTTTGATACTAACACTCATCACCCCCTCGCTCTCCAGGAGCTCCGCTCTCTCCAGAGACGCAGCCCTGGCGCCCAGGACCCGGTCTCAACTGCTGCTGTTATGAGCAACAGCAATCATAAATCCCCTCGGCCCAAGAATAACGGCGGTGGGCGCCACTCAGGGCCCGTGGCCAGTAACGAGACCCGTCTACTTTACCAAGGCAGGGACAACAATTAATTTTCAGGATTTGATCCATTCATTCCATGCCAGCTAAAAAACGCACAGTGTTGGGCTTTTCTTTATTAACGAAGGCAACGGATTTTGACCTCCCAGGCTGCAGCGAGCATGCCTGTGTGTTTGGAGGAGACAGTACGGCAGCGCCAGCCTCCTTTTTTCTTTCTTTTCTTTTAAAACAAGTAACAATTGAAACGGACGCTCGTCGCGGGCGGGGATGTCCGCCAGAGAGGACTTCGCAGGGAGGAAAACCAACGCCGTAAATTCGCTCACCCACGTCCCCCGACGCCGCTTCTCTCCAGCGCGCTCCGTTCTCTGGCCATGTGCCCCCGCTCTCCGGTGCCCCGACGGCGAAGCGGCACTGCGGGCTCCTCCCGCCGGGCACCCACCGCCGGCCCCCCCCCCCGCCCCCCGCCCGTCGAGGGCCCCCCGGGGCG